GTCCAGTTTATTTGTTAACATCTTTGTTTACAGTGGATGCAAAACGCACCGATTAAAATCCAAGCAACTACGTGTTTCTGTTACTCCCTCCTCCCCACCTTTCACTCGCGCGCGGCGCTCCAGGACATGCGCAGTGGTTTTCTCTCAGCGGCAGAAAATGTTTGTCTAATCGTCAGTAATATAATATCGCTGCATAAATAGTAAGAAATCCGATGGCCACAGCTAACTCAACATCGCTTCGCTTTCACAGACGGTGGGGACAACGTCTAACTATTTTCGTCACTTAGAAAAGTAGCTCAAAGAAGGTAAGCTCCGTTAACGTGATGTTAGCAAAGCTAGCTGTACAGAGACACATGCATTGTGATGAAAAATGTTATCACTCACTGCGCTGAATTATTGTGCGGAGGTGTAGACTGACTTTTCGCATATATAGGACAACGCTATGTCCAAAAGTCTGCAATATAGTGAGGCGACATTCAGAAACATTCGATTCTTCTCCACGGCTCTTTACTTATTAGATAGGACTGGAGTGTCACTCACTGAGAGCCGTTGTTCTATCAGATAACCATACACTGTCAGGATAGCATACATGCATTAAGCATTAAGAAATCCGACCGTCAGAGGAGTTGTCAGTTCACCATACGCAGCAAGTTATGGTGAACTTAAGTCATTAAATTGTTTTCAATGATAACTATATAGATATACATGTGTTGTCATGGTTTCAAAGTGTATTTAAAGCAGGTCTGGCTGCAGCTGGAGTCAGCTATAACACACGCCTGTGTAAAACTCACTTAACCACTAAGTCAGGATGCCATACAACTGTTAATAACAAAGTGTATGACGATCTAAGTCATGATTCTATATTGCTGATTAAATGAAATCTTATGGTAATGACGTGTCTGACAGATACTGCCGGTGTTCTATCAGATTACCATACGCTGTCAGAATAGCATACATGCAGTGAGTACCATGCCAGCGCATGCGCATTAAGAAGTCCGACTCTCAGTGTAGTTGTCAGTATACGCAACAAGTTATGACGAAAATAAGTCATTAAATTGTTTATAATATGACATAATATGATAACTAGATAGATAT